AGCTTTATATCCAATATAATAAAATTCTCGTTCACCATGTTCGTTCCCATACTCCTCCGAATCGGATTGAGCGATTCTTATGAAATTTTTAATGCATATTCAGTAAGTCCGATAATCAGCTACTATCTATCTTTAAAACCCCTAAGTCATAAGGGGTGTCCACACCACACAATTTTTTTTTATTTATTAGACAATTGTTTTTTATTTTTCAGACAATTTTTTTTGTTTTTATTTCTTTATGATACAGCATTAAAAAACAATATAAAAAATCTAAAAATATCAATTTACAAAAAGAATTTTGTAACAATTTCAAAAACGCTTGACCCAACCGTAGCCTACTCTGATAACTGTCCGTTTATCTATTTTAGACGTAACGCCCTTCATACGATGTTCAAATGGCTGTATAATTTTTAATGAAGTGCATTCTGAAATCTTCAATTTTCGTCGATGCATGCCAACTGCACATGAAAACGTAAAATTAGTTCTCTTTGCACAGCTCTCTCCCCGCCGGCAATTCATATGCTTACGTGTGGCTAAGGCACCAGCGAGTACACTTACAAGATAAATAAACCTATTAAGTAAGCTCCACGTAACATAATTTTTTTTCTTATGTAACCGGAGGCAAACATACAGGAGGCTCCCAAGTGCGTAGCCGGCCTTTTAAGAATTGGTACCCTCTATTCTTGAAGGACCCTAAGTCGAATTGGTTCGCAAATACTTCTGTGTAATAATTTAATTGAATAAATAGTTAAACTCAATATTTTTGTTTATGAAGATTTTCTTTAAAAAAAATTTTCACTAACGATTCAAATCTTTATACATTCACTAACAATCTTAAACATTATCTCAACATGCTGAAAAAGGAAAGTATTCTTATTGTGCAAAAGTAGTTTTATTATAAAATTGTAAGTGTTTTGTAGAAATTATTACGTCAAGTAGGTATCCATGATCATTAATTTGTCAAATGGAAGAGACTAGCTCCCTCCACAGAGAATTCTAGTGGGGTCCACTGTCTCTTTATACTTAACATCCTTCTTTATTGTGTAATAAAGCTTTTTCTTTCTTTTCTTGTTTTCTTTCTAGTAGACAGTGTAGCCTTTTCTGGAGACAAGTAGATACATTATATACACTATGAGCGTTTTCCAATATAACCGACTTTTAAAGATTATATGTATATGTTATAATTTACTTGTATATTTTCATAAAGGAAATTGCAATGAAACAAGTTAGACTCTCTAACCTAAGACGCGAGGATATTTACTCATAAAAATTACATCAATTTAATTGCACCCATTTAAGTAAAGTACTGTTTTGTCTCTTTTTACCAAATTGTGTTTACTGAGAATGAAAAGAGACAGATATATACTACCTCAGTACCCGCTTTATTAGTGGCCCATTCAAGGTTTTGGGGTGAGCACTCGTGTCCTGCCTCAAGGGTCGGAGAGCCTTAACGGCCAACTTTCTCGTCCAAGACCTGCACTTCACTCAACAAACATTTGTTTTGTCTAGTACATACTTGGAGATATGAAAGTATAATTTTAGGAGCAAGTGTCGTTCTCAGCTCTGAGGTCGTCTTATATGAGGAAGAAGGAACAAGGAAACAGACTATGTTCTGTCTCTGTTTTCACCCACAATATCTCATATACCAGAAATCTTCACTTCAAAAAGTTTTTATAATCAATGATATGGAAATAAAATTGATAAATTTCATTTAATTTTATAATCGAATTAAATTAATCTCTTAGTTAATTTTTTGCACATCTATGTTGTTTTAATTCAGAAAATGATCAAATAAATACACTGTATAATGCATCCTAACTCATTTTCTTCCACGTTTAATCTTATGAATTTGTGTCTGTCTCTTTTTTGTTTCATCTACTTTCAAATCACAATGATGCTAAAGAAGTTTTCACTTCAATATATAAAATAAATAAATCTTTGTGAGAGGCTGGTGCCTATAATAGAACTCCTGTGGTCACCAGCCTTCCACCGCGGACAGAAAATATACAAAAACTACTATGACTAAAGTAAGAAACAGAATAAAATAAAACTAAAGTTGTCGGTGTTTTATTTGTAAGGGTGTGTGAATTAAAAATGTATGAAAGAATTTAATTTAAAGTCTACCTAAAATGGCTATGGATAACAAATTTTCTGTTGCATCATGTATGCAACTAGTTCTAAATAACGATGGAATCGACAGACACATTTATTAAAAGTAAAAAAAAAAAAATTCCATGAAAATTAAATATTCTCATCAAGCATTATCGAACAGAACAAATACTAATTCTGACCCAATTCCTCCTTCCGTTTTATATGTAAACATACGTACAAATCTTCAAATATTATGGACAAAAATAGACTTCTTTTATCTAAGAATGTTGTATTTACTCTACTTATATATTTTTATCTTACCTATGCTTGGAATGATGATTGATTTTAATTGATTTTATTATTATTTATTACTTAAGATGCCCTGTGGAACATGGTGTAATGGTTGCATCTCCTTACAAACGATGTGTAGAACAAAAAACTTGGCGATGGCAAAAGAGTGGCGGAGAGTTTATTGCCAGTTCTTCTCTTCCGTTCTACGCCTTTGATTTGAGTAAATGTCAAATTAGAAGCATTTAATGTACCTATATTTCTTTTTGACGTTCATAATGTACATTGTGTTACCTACATGAATAAATGAGTTTTGACGTTTGCCCTGTTACATAAAAAAAATATAGAAAAAAATTAAGCTCTAATTCAAATTGTTATATTTTTATCTACAAAATGGTCAACCCTCTCATCTGGCGTGAACGGTAACATTATAAGCAATAATAATTGTACAACCGTAAAAAGTTCAAACACTGGTGGAATGCGCCGGAATCCATAGATGGTGTTGGGACACAATTATGGGTAATGCGCTGCAGTTTTTCGTTAGTACCTACTACCCTTACTTGTAGAATGCCTACAGAACACTAAAAGCCATATTTATTTGAAAATGTGTTACTGGGCCACTTGTATATACCTACAAAAAGCCCCCACCTTCGTCCTTGAAGGCGTAATTAATTTTCTCAAAGCTGAAATCTAACCTTTTCAAAGACTAAGAAAACTGTGTTCCCTAATACATTATGCATGTAACCCGGTTCTTGAGTGGGGAAGGTATTCAGAGGCTGGCCTTGTTTTAAACTTAATTCTAATTTAATTTTAATAACGCTTTTCAAAAGAAAACCTAAGCTGCTTTTGTGAAGTGAATTTACTAGCGATGTAGCTGTTGTATTTGGAATTAAAATATGTGACAATAAATAACGATTTTGTCTATAGCGTACACAGTCGTCTATTAAATTATTTATTGTGTGTAGATTTATTTAATAATTGCACATCCTGCATATTTTTGAAGTGAAACTTCTTTAGGCGCATGAGGGTAATTTTTTTACGGATGAAACGCAATAATAATAATATTAGCGTCACAAAGATGTGCAGCGTTTTTGTCGAAGAAAGGGAGAGACCGATTGAGAGAAGGGAGAATTTCCTAATCTTTAAAATTTCGTAAAAAGAAATTATCGAATATTGATTGAAATGTCAAATGACGAATTGTAAATTAAAATGCCACGTGTTTTTATTATCGAAGAAATTAATTTAAAAAATTAAATTTATAATTTTTATTAATTGTCGACACTTTTAATATTTTAATGACAATTAAATTCATTAAATTCTGAACAAATCTTCCTTTACCCTCCCTCTAAGACTCTTGTTTTATATAAACTCTTCTTAAAGCTTTCTTGAGAGATTGCTAGATCGGCAACAAGGCCGCACTCAGTGAATGTTATGCAAGTATTTCTTGTATAGCTTTGTATGCCACGATGCAGATATTTGATTTTCGATTAGTAACGGCCATAACGTAAATTTTCAACATTTAAGAACATAAATCAAATGAATATCATAATGAAATCTCCTCAAATTAATCGTAAATTCTATTTAAAAAGAGCATAATCCGTAAGAAATTATGCACATTTTTCGGTATTAATGACGCAGGAAAAGAAATATTAAGTACAAAAATAATAAGTGTCAACATAAATTATTTTTCACGCCATTAGCGGACCGAGATTCGCACTTTTAATGTTAAAGAGCATCGAACACCCTCTATTACAACTTCATGGGAAAACAGTCATTATTCCGACATAAATAAGGCTATTATTTCCATAAAATTGTACGATGGAACATGCCTATTTGAACCCTCATGAATAACATTGGCATAATTCGAAAAATGCGAGGGATTCCATTTCCAGTACACTATAAGCGTTAAATTTAGTATGTTTGGGTATTTCCGGTTTAAATCTTACAATATATAAAACAAAATAATATTTTTTAGACCAGTTTTTCCCAACGGGGGCAATTTGTTTGTTAAGTTATTATTTTGAAAATGTACTTACTGTTTTTCGTTAACAATGTCCTAGTGTTTCTTTTTAAAACCTATCATTTAAGTTTCTTAATGAACAATTTAATATTAAAAATTCTGTTACATAGGGGAGAAGGATTTTAGAAAGACTAAGGTGGGGAATGGCTCAAAACTGTTTGGGAAACACAGGTTTAGACAAAATATTACTTTGTTGTTTATTCATTATTTATAGGTCAGCCGCAAAGTGTTACTCAGATTTCCGTTAAATTATAATAGGAGGTTAATTATTATAACTAAACAATAAATCTAAAGAACGCTGAAATCATAAAATAGCCAATGTGTTAACGACTGATTAGAAACAGGATAGTTTTGTTAACTTTTTAATTTTTCTTTATTTTCTAAGAATAAGTACATTCTTGACTTATGTTTTCTATTTCGTATATGTATTTGTTTTAGTAATCTGTTTTGGCTTTGTATATTGTCTTAATGTTTTCTTGGGTAATATGTATGTGCAAGATAACTTATAAATCAATAAAATTATTGAATTTCTTTTAATTTAATTGAAGCAGTATAACTGTTAATTCTTAATGCAAATTAAATTCGATTTTATAAGACTTACCTTCAGGCCAATTGTCATAGACGTGTATAGCGATGTCGCCAGCTGAATCCACCGGACTGAACACGAACTCCTTAGTCTTGCCAGACACAAGTATTAACCGCAGATTTATCTGAAAGAAAATAAAAAAAATTAACTAACTCCGTGTGTTATTAATTACGGATTCATCGATTGCAATCACCATCTCGCAGTTGGATTAAATAAATGGTTGGTGAAATAATAAATATTATATATAATCTATCGCAATATGCGTAAGCCACGAAATACTACTTTCTTAATTTTAAAGTACAATAATGATTACTTTTTTATTCAAAACTTAAAAGTTTTGACTAAATCTTTTGGCTCTATGTCAATTAAGTTTGCATACGTAATAATATGAACAATTGTTCATCTATTGTAATGTTTCTATATATATATATATATATATATATATAATATAAAAAGAATAAAAAGGCTCCACGGAGGGAATTAATTGCTGGTTCAGGTATACATAAGATATAAGAGTGTAAATAGATCCTAGCAGATTTTTTTATTGTCAGCGTAGATAATGGTCTAATCTAACACCCGTTGCTTAGTTAAAAAAATTGTCTATATAACAAGACAATTTAAATTATAACGTTAAATATAATCCTTATCATGAATTAAACAGAGCATGTACACGAAAACATAAGCCTAGGACATTTGAAGAGTTAATCTGTAGGATCTACCCTCATCTTTTTAGAGTATCTTTGTTTAAATAAAAAAAGATAACATTATTTTGTTTCGTAATTTAAATAGACATTAGTAGTATGTATCTGTATATATTTTTAAATTCACTCTAAACGTATACTTAAAATTATTTAAATAAATGATTTTAGAAGATTTGTTTTACTATGGAAAAACACTGAACAAATTTATAGTTTGCACCTGTTTAAAAATATTAAATAAAATTAACAATAAATTTGACATAAATAGAAAAAGTAATCCGCGACCCTGCCAGGATTCGAACCTGGAATCTTCTGATCCGTAGTCAGACGCGTTATCCGTTGCGCCACAGGGCCGGTTAATAAAAGCTTGAAATAGGCTAAACTATTTAAAGTCTGACATGTTGTTTCTATTATAAACAACACAATTTAGTAATAAATCAAGAACTTGTAGATGAGCTTCTACATTTAATTTACTTATATAATGTAACTTAATATAGTCAAGTTAATACTAAATTTAGATTTTAGACAGTGCAGTATAAAAACTTTGAATAAATATTATCAACGAAAAAACATAATATCTCGAAACTGATTTATATTAATAACTCCATAGCTTAGTGATTAACAAATATGTTATATAACGAAACATGTTTTGGTTTAGAGAATTACGCCACTTTAAATATTCATAAACCTACTAAAAGCCTTAATTAATCTACACTTAAAGTCAGACAAACTATTTAATACATAGTCGAATTTATGAAGACGGGTACTTTCATAATAATTAATAATCGTATATCTAATATGTTAAAGGTAAACGACTACATATATGAAAAGAATGCATAGGCCGCATTGCAGAGCTTCGGGAGGTAACGAGGGGAGCTGTCTTTGTGGAGGCAAAATTGATTAATGCACCAAAGATACAACTCAAACACTGGGATCGAATGTAAAGGGCGAGTAAACTTCATATAGGATACCGCGAATATTAATTACGGACGTCGAGATTTTTTATTTTAGGACATGTTAGTTCAACGTTATAAAATACATATTTTCTTTATCTCATCATTCTTATTCAAATTCAATTTGTTTAATTAATTATTTTAACAGACTAATATCTTAATTTAATCTATTATATTTGAAAAATACTGTGTATATATATAATTTGTATTAATGTAGAAGCTGTCTTGTTAGGAGCGCGACAAATGCATTTAAAAATAATGAAGTCCTTCGCAATGTGTTGAATGATTTCATATGTGTGTTTGAATAAAAGGCAGTTAATTAAGTTTTTCATTTAATGTATAGAGACACAATTGTTTTTTTTTAATAGGAGGCAAACGGGCAGGAGGCTTACCTGATGTTAAGTGATACCACCGCCCATAGACACTCACATAGCAAGTGCGTTTCGAGAATTCGTACGCTCTTGAAGTACCCTAACTCGAATTGGCTTGGAAATACTTCAGTGGGCAGCTGGTTCCACATAGTGGCATAAACTGACTTAAAAAATGCTCATTTGTGGAACGTCGAACGTCGAGGTGATACGCGTAAAATTTCGAATTCTGCCTAAACGTCCGATGATGATATTATAATTATTATCTTAATTTGTATAAATTACGCGTTGTTTATCCGCTATGGACTCCTTATCTACTTAACCGATTTCAATCAAATTTGCAGACCGTGTGCAGTTTGATCTAACTTAAAAGACAGGTACTAAGTATTACATAGTATATATTATATTATTCTACTGTACGTGTGTATGTCACTGAACTTCTCTTTGATGATTTTTTTTGTATGCATTTGGGTGCAGCCCTGGATGGTTTATATTCACAAATCAGCCCGACGGATGGCGCTGCAGTCGGTACATTCATACTTTGAATATCCTAATCGCGAAATATCATGTAGGACAACGTCTGTGGGGTCCGCTAGTAAATATATAGATAAGAATAGTTACGTGTAATTATTTCCCTTAAATTATCTATTAAAATAATTCTCCAGATTTAGCATCTAAATGACTAGCGTAAGCTGAAGCATATATCCACTAGACCCAACGTCTGCAACGCCTGGCACCTCGCCAAACACTCAGCTGCTTATCACGAGTGCATTCTGTTTCAAGGTCTTCATTGATCTTACAACTGTTTTACAATATCCGGCATTGCTACGAATATAGAAATATCACCTTAGGCAACGCACTTGCGAACCCTCTGGCAAGTGCGTTGCAACCCTTTTTTATAATTAAAATCTAGAAGCTGAGTATGAAATTTTGAAAGGCCAACAACGAACTTGGAATTAGCTGCCCACTAAAGTATTTCCGAACAACTTCAACTAGGGTCATTCGAGAAAAGAGCGTACCATTTCTTAAAAGGCTGGCAACGCACTTGCGAGCACTCTGGCAATGTGAGTGTCTATGGGCGGCGGTATCACTTAACATCAGATTAGCCTCCTGCCAGTTTGCCCCCAGTTATAAAAAAAACGGTTTCAAAGAATGTATTTGGTAATATGTAACACTCGGCTCATGAACATTAATAACGCACAGACTATACATTAAAAACAGACATAAAAATTATGTGTGCATTTGGTGGATTGACTCCATGTTACATTTATCATATTATTTATAAATTGAACAATATCAGAATTATTATGGACAACAAAATCTGAGTAAAAATAAAATTAAAAATGTTATTGAGATGTTAAAGAACAGGTATTTATGTTAAATGAGGTCAAACTTTTATGTAACTTACAAAAAATTATTACGTGGCTATCTCATTGTATATACCTACTCGTTTTATATAGGAATTTGTACTGTTTTTCTCAGTTCACACTAATTTATTATTTATTATTTTTATTTAATTATTTAAATGGTTTTAGAGAATACTCTAAAACAATAATGAAATAAAAACCTATTTAATTTATAATAATGACAAAAAATAATAACATACAGCTTAGATTTTGATGTTATACTTCTATTGGCGCGTTAGGGAAAAACGATGAGAGTAAATTTTTTCTATTGTTAGTGTCGGTTTTTCTACAAACGTAGAAAATTTTTGAAATGATTTTTATCTTGTTACGCCAATGAAGTATATCTTCTAACGCGTGTACATAAGTAGGTATACACACGGTTTTTTTAAATTTAATACATTGTTTTTATCTTGTAATGCTATATATCCTAGCTACCTTCATTCAATACGATCGAAGCCCCTTCACGGGTAAAGGCCTCCTCCAGCTTTTTCCAACTGACTCTGTCTATGGCTTTCTTTCTTCATTAGCTTCCTGCTACCGCTTCTATTTATTCTATCTACCTTTATTGGGACACGCTCTTCTCCTTCTTCTCCTTGGTCTTTCCCATATAGAAGGTGGACTTTAAAACCTTTTATCTGTATATCTTGCTATATTCCCAGCCATCACTTGTGTCATTATTTTTTATATTGTATTATTTTTTACCTTTTTATTTTATGTATTTTTATTTTTGGTACGCTAAAACCATTAAGGTAGCAAAAATACAGAAATGAACAATTAAAAACATCAAACAATTTAATTTCAAATTTCAAATAGTGATTCGTTAGATAACCTACAAAATTTTGCAAAAACTAGGATTCTATTTCAGAATATTTCTCAAGACGCAATCTAAAATCACTTCATACATTTTCTTTCTAACCTAATGTTATCCTTAAAAGGACCGCAATTTTAACGATCCAGTCTGTAGCCTCCATAGCTCAGGGGTTAGAGCACTGGTCTTGTAAACCAGGGGTCGAGAGTTCAAATCTCTCTGGAGGCAATTTAAATTTTTCAACATTCGCTTATTTTCTGAAAGCAACAATTCAACACAAGTGAAATATACATCTATGTCAATGTCGTATGGACAAAACTTACAGCTAAGACAAAGCTAGTACAAACCATAGACAAACAAAAGCCGTCCTTGAAGTAATAAAACTGGGTTAATGTTTACAAACTTTAAGCTGATTTTAGACATCTATATACCGCTATTGTTTTTGCTAATTGACACTCGGTTTCTGTAAAATACCAGTTATATTACGACTCGTAGAATTGTAAAAAATATTATTATTAATATTAAACGTAATGGGAAACGTATTGGACAGTTATTGTATTTTTATATAACAATGGGCAAACGGGCAGGAGGCTCACCTGATGTTAAGTGATACCGCCTTATTAAAATAGCTGCAATAGTATAATCTATGATCTAAAATATAGTATTTGATAATTTTTCATCAATCACACAACTCCGGTTAGACCATTAGATTTTTGGGTGATTTCTATAGCATTCGTATGAGTCGTGTCGGGAATCCATATAGATATCTGGATATGTAACAATAGGTATAAAGGACCAAACCTAAGAGATATCGCGTGACGAACAATAAACGGTAATGCCGCCTTCGGGCGATAGACATAAATCAGTGGCTGCCTTAAGCGCCTATTGACCTGTTTCTCCCATTCCGTCTCATATTTCAAACTGACCACAGACTGTTGTGAACAGTAAAACTTGTCAATAATGGTATATGGTATAGATATATAAAGATATACGACTCTCAAGCCTCTCATAGTAATGTATTATTAACATAAGTTTGTAAACTAAAGTTAAAGTTAGTTGTTTGTTTATTAAGTGTTTCCAAACGTTATTATTAAGCTATCTTAAATATAAGATTAGTAATCATGAAAAAGTTAAATACGGCCCCGAGTACCTGGCATCAATTTGATAAGACAGAGGTGCAAAGGCATCTGGGACAGGACAGGACATGCTTCACGAGACAGACGCCCAAACTCCAGTATCGGAGAGTCACCAAAGTAGAAGAACATGACCTAGTGGCTTCACCGCGCGATCCTTATCCCAGTGGTCGTAGGTTCGATCCCCGGCTGTGCACCAATAGACTTTCTTTCTTTGTGCGCATTTAACATTAGCTCGAACAGTGAAGGAAAACATCGTGAGGAAACCAGCTTGCCTTAGACCCATAAAGTCGACGGCGTGTGTCAGCCACAGGAGGATTAGATATACTGACAAATGATCTGAGACCCAAACCTAAAAAGGTTGTATCGCCATTTATTTATTTTACATTATTACTATTATGTAATTGAAAACAAAACAACAATGCCATTCCGAGGTGACACACTTCACAGTATGCATAAAATTTTATTGTAATGACAGCCCGAGCGGCGTCTACCTTCGTCTGACGCATTAAGCGAATGTTGTGTCACCTTTCTAAAGGCCTGTATTCACTTTGATTAGTGCAAGTGCAAGTGATTGGTAATTGAGGATGATTAGTGCAGGTGTGTAGTGTAGTGCAGTAAATTCAGCTGTCGATCAGCAAGTTTGGGGGAACACCGAGAAGCTCGCTTGCAATTGGACGAAGTACTGAAAGAAATATTAAACGCTGCGCTATAACTTGCAAGATCAAGAAAAGTATTGGTTCGAAAATGGATTAATAGAAGACCCATTCATGGCGCAAGCTACCAACTCTATAAGGAATTGGCTGCTGAAGATACGACGGAATATTACTTTGCTCTCAGGTTGACCGAAGCGTCCTGCTGCTTGTCCAGACGTGTTTCGGCAGTCACGCTGCGGGTGAGGGGGAAGGGAGGGCTCACGCGACGTCACTACTCGCAGTCGCAAAAAATAGAACACGCTTCTAATCACGTTATTGCGCAGCCAACTAATCACCTGCACTAATCAGTCTCTGTCCACACTTGTTTTTTCCTAATCACTAATCAAAGTGAATACAGGCCTTAAGAGTATCAAAATTATGTAAAATACATATGTAGACAAAAATAAACAATAATCAGAAAAGGAAGGAGACAATCTCAGAAGGTTAATAGACATAATAAATTGCCTGACGTCACTTATGACACAATATTATCTATATTCTAATATGAGGAAATAAATTGATAAATATTTGGTGCCAAATGCTAAAGTATTACACACACACACACCCACACACATTATTGTTCATTTTGCTTCCTCAGACTTTCTTAGTTTTATAAGCGTGGCAATTTCCTAAATCGTCGAAGTTACGCCCCCAGAGTATAACCAGACGTAGGCCCTCTCTTAAACTGTTACATTGCATCAGTTACATAGCAATTAAAATTTCATTATTTCGCTTATATTCTATTGTTGTATGCGTCTTGTTAATATAGAGTCAAAAAATAAAATCCTCTATTAATTAAACCACACCTATGACTCAGGAATCATACAAATAAATTAAAAATTAATTCATAGATTAAAACACTTATATTATGTTCAATATTTATTAATAAACACAAATCTATATAAAAAAGAGGAAATAAACAGAACAATATTTACTTTTAAAATATTTTTATTACCTAAATTATTGTCGAAGAAAAGCATTTCGTTTAATATTTATAAATGCAAATCTATATACCTATAAACAATCTCTTCATAAAAGATAATATATCTTATAGAACTTTAATTTGTTTTAATACTCAAGGATCCGGACAGCACAACCTTCGTACCCACTGGCCTGATTAATCTGTGACCTCTTTAGGTGGTCATATTTCAAGGGATGAGGGTAGGTTTATTTTTCCACAACATTTTCCTGAAAGCCCGCGGGAGCTGAGACCGTGAAAGCCTCCAAGTCGCGTTATTAGAGCCGAAATAATTCGCGTAAGAAATTTTAATAAGTCCACCAGCTTCTGTATAAAATTTTACTCAAATATAAAGTTTCAAACAACATAAATTGCCAACTTGCTTAAATTAAATTCTGTCTGGCTCTTGTAATTAAAGTTTTGGGTTCTGTTATTTAAACATAGATCATATGTTAATATCTAATATATTATAAAATTCTCGTGTCACAATGTTCGTTCCCATACTCCTCCGAAACGGCTCGACCGATGATGAAATTTTTTCTGCATATTCAGTAAGTCTGAGAATCGGCTACTATCTATCTTTCAAACTCCTAAGTTTTTATTTTTTAGATTTTTTTCTTTTTTTTTTATGATACAGCATACAAAAATACATACAACCCCTAATTTTCAAATATAGTTATTTTTATTGAACAAACTTGCTGAGTTTCTTGCCCGTTCTTCTCAGAACAAGGCCTCCTGGTAGTTTTGCGAACGGATGGCGTAGTCTTGCTCTTTCGTGAATTTTATAAACGTTGTTGACATTCATAAGCATGCTCTAAGAAGCATCTAAATTGAATAAACGTATTTTGATTTTGATTTTGATTTTGAACTAAAAAAAATTGTGGAGGGATCCTACACACATTGCCAAGCAAGCTCTCCACTGGAATCCTCAAGGCAAAAGGATATGTGGCTGCCCAAAATAGACCTGGCAACGTTGCAGAGGTGAGAGAAGATGGAATGACGTGGAGTGATATTAAGAGAGCTACTGGCTCAGGCTGTTTTTCTGCACTTGGTCATAGGATTTTAAGTCAAGTCATATGTAAAATTAAATTGAGATGTTCAAGCCTCATGCAGTTCTTAGATGAGGTTCGTGGAACAAGAGCTTTGCAAAAACGCAAACTAAAGTATGCAAATATGCTTAAATTGGACAAAGACACCACACACACACGCAACACGCACACAAATATATAATATTTTTCTTCGTACGAAACGCTCACTATAAATTTTTAATTTCTAGAGCAGGCTTTATTATGGAAGACAGCCGTCAATTATAATAAGAAAAACTCCAATGTAGAGTCCGAGGATTTGTCAGTAGGATTTGTTATTAGCAGTCTGCTATTATTAAATATTTATTTACATGAAACGAAATTATTTGAGCTCTAAGTTCTCAGTTCTGGAGGAGGTCTAAGGTCATAGATAATATATACAAATCGAATCAAAATGCTATATCATGTAGATATAGCATTAGAATATAGTGTTGCTTTCTATTCTAAAATGAAAATTATGGTAAACATAAATGACACAAAAAATTAAAATTTTAATAATTCTAATTCTGCTAATTCATTTGCCATGGAACAGGTGTAGGTAATTGTGTAACGATAAAACTTATTAATATTTCCACCTCCTAATCGTTCGAGTCAACTGCGGTCTAGTGCTAATCTAGCAATTATAATAATTTTACGGGTTCAATTCACCTGATACCGTGATACAGACCGCAAAATCGATACGTCACAGGGCTGCCAAAAATTACGTAGCTTAAATAAATTATTGAATCGAACATTAAATGTCATCTTAATTTTACTTTAGTTAATTTAAAATTTGTATTAAGAAGTTAGTTTTTTTTATAAATGTATGATACATAAAAAATGGGAATTGCGTTAGACCCAAAAAGTCCACGGCGTGTGTCAGGCACAGGAGGCTGATCACCTACTTGCCTATTAGATTTAAAAATGACCATGAAACAGATTCAGAATCCTGAGGACCTAAAGAGGTTGTAGCGCCACTGATTATTATTATCTTTATTTTAACATAGTACTTACAATAGATAATATAGTTCTTGCGGGTAGAAGACGGCGAATCAGAGAAATTATTTTTTGTTTAGTAAAAAAGAACCCAACAAGTGGCTTATTGCTGGATAGCAGATTGCCATGAAGCAGATACAACAAACAAAAAAAAAAGTGAAAAACTAGTATTTTTAGATTTTCGAAATATACTAAAATTCAAAAATTACTCTTTTTACTACTCTTTTTGGTGCCAAGACTCGAACTCCAACAATATACCATATTATCCCTTCGTAACGCCACACCCTGTAAACAATCAATTTCAAAAATATATAAATATAGTTTTTATCGTCTAAATTATTTCAAATATTCAAGTACGAACTATAGATATCTGAATAAGAGATCATTATTATTTGGTATTAATAGTAGTTATATTGTCTGACAGCCCTATTACCGACCCACTTTCAGCGGTCCCATTCACCCTGACTCTGAAATTATAACGAATCGAACCGGTCACCTCGATTAGGCCAATTTAATACATTCACTTAATGCGGGCAGCTCACGATCAAAATTGAAGACCACTTCAATAATGGCATCCAAAATCAGAATGTATATTGAGAACTAGCCGCCCTGTCTCTTCCGCCTTTATTCGGGATTTTACATCTTCTTAAAGAAACCACAAGTAGTACATATAGATTATGGCATAGAATAACAATAATTGCCTCCAGATAATTGGTACTTTCTGTGGGCAGAGAAGATAAGTAGAGAAGTCATATTGACAGTTTCGCTGATTTTTTGACTACGTTTACAAGCTTAAGGGCCTAACTGGTCGCCAAACTCCAAAAAAGTATATTGTTTCTTTCCATTTTTAGTCATCGTTTCTTGAAGTAGGGCGAATGGAAAAAATATATGGTGGAGTTGAGTAGTTTATGTATCCATTTTGAAAGATCGATACTTACACGATTTAAATAACTTCGCTCGATAGAAAAAAAAATTCAAATATAGCCAATTTTTGAGACTTTGAATTCATTTTATCACGAAAATTTATATATAACATGATTTTGAAATTTACACGGATATATTTTATCGCAAGCCAAGTAATGCATTTCAGAAAAAAGAAATTGATAAAAGTACATTTATGTACCTACTGTTACATAACTAATTGTTGTTACGGGCCGGCGCGCCTTAGTGCTCCAGCTTCTACTGCGCCCCGCAGTCCACCCCGAGACACTGACACAGCAATTCGTGCTGGGATAGGGCCTTAAACGATCTTTGGGGTGTTCTTCTTAGAACGACCATGATCTGTCGAGACTTCATACCAGCTGGTTAGATTCTATACCATACAACCCCAACTTTTATTAAATTAAAACATACATCCTTAAAATGTATAGAAAACCCCGTTTCAGAAACCTCATAAGTTACTTTAAAAACCAGTCTAAGGCGGAAATCGTAATTTTTCAAGGTCGTCATCAAATAACCATATTAAAGTTTGACAACAATTTCAAAATATAAACGTGCGTCATAGCACTCTCACACATTCAACTCTCCCATTGTTGTAGCAAGCGGCTGGCGAGGCGCCAACAAAAATGGATAATTATATGTTGCAACACAGGCCTAGATTATACAATCTATTGCAGATGTTTAAAGTAAAACTTGCATCGCGATAACAGGAGATGATGATAGAACACTTTAAATTGATTTTGTGTAGTGATATCAAAAAGATCAGCAAGCAAAGCAGCCGTTGATCAATGCGCCTTCCTTCAACTAGACGCCGCCCGTACCTTGAAGGGCGAAAGCAAATTTGTGACCACTGCGGTCAAACTCTGTGAGCTGGTTAAAAAAACAGAGGCTCAGTCAAGGAAGGGAAACGAGAAAAAGAAACACAAAGGAAGCAGGAAGAGGAAATGATAAAACTGACAACACTCCTGCTATGCCTCTCCTCTCCAGCTCCAGCTGGAAAGTTTCCGAAAGGATGACGTTATAACGATTCTCCCGTATGTCATAAAGCATCATTGCTAATTCGTTTTACGAGCTCGACGTTTGCGAACTACATTGATAGCGCTGTCATCTTTCTTGTGGCTTTTGTAATTATAATTCAGAAATCTTAAGACTAATTAGAAAACATATATATACGTAAAAATATATAAGAAAGAAATCACGACTATTACAATATTGCGGGCTACTCCATTGTGCGAAAGATGCGTGGATATGGTTCGCGCTGTGCCTTCTTAAGTTCTCATGTTATTTTCACACATGTACATCCTTTCTATAACCTATGTTCATATAAATATGTCCTAATTTTAACATGAGTGATTGAGAGCAAAAATAAAATAAACATATTACTGGTATGATAATATAAAATAGTCAACGTATTAACCTATAACAACTACCTGGAACTCTGTAAACCCGGAATCACAATAGGGATATTCTAACCTCGTTATAATGACCTAATTACAATGCTATCAACGATATTGCGATAATATTATTTACCATTACTGTAATTAGGGGAGGCTTAACGTCTTAGGACGTACTTAAGCAGCGATGGAAAGATGGCTATCTAATTATGTTGTAAAGGGATATTATCGGAGCATCGTTATTAGAAGAACATTCTTAAAGCCTCTTGTTATATGGAATTTAAGTAATGTTTACTCTTTATTACGGAATTTATTGTTTTTTTTTATATAGGAGGGCAAACGAGGCTCAAAAAGGGCAGTTATCGCAGCCCATGGACACCCATTTTAGTGGGTGCGTTGCCGGCCTTTGAGGGAGGAATATACAATTTTTTTTAAACAACTGGAATTCCTATCTCCTAGGGAAGACCCCCACCGGGAACCGATTTCACAGTTCCCAAAAGAAAATAAAACAAAAAACAAAAGAATGGTAACGTATATAGATCAGATGTTTTAATATCTGGTAGTACAGTGCATATGAATTAATTAAAACAAAGATTTAGAAATTCACCACTTATTTAAATATCCGAGGTGGGAATCCGTGTCCGCATCCCCTGCCCCCGAAAGTAGCTGTGTATATGGAATCGACCTTCAGAACCTCTGCTATTCAGGATGAGCAATACCCACATAAACCACCACGGGTAGTTCCTACAAAGCCGTCTTAGAAAGGCTCTCGCATTCTACGAGGGCAGAGAGATTCACACCTGTAAGCGACTACATGACATCCCAATTTCCGCCTTGATTACGCTGTGGAAAGCGTAAATACAATTCAATAGACTTAACATTGCATAAGGAAGATTGATTTAATTTGACAGAATAAGATCATTAAGGCCTCCTACGCACTGGCGACCATGGTCGCCGCGACCTAGCCGCGGCGGCCAGTGAATTCTGGACTTTATATGGCAATCGCTATAGCCCCTACGCACTTAGCGGCCAGCGACCAGCGGCCACCGTTGGCCGCGGCGTCCAATTTGATGCCACGCGACCAGCGACCAATCGTGGCCGTCGAGAACATCACTTCTGTATTAAAATTCATCAGTGCTACCGCATCGGCCGCGGCGACCAGACGTGTAGCTAGCTACAGAGTGATTATTTTACAATTTTACAATGGAATCACTGCATTTGCCGTATGCTCCAATATCTAAGTAAAGAAATTTATAATTTACATCACATATTGCAAGTAACACGATTGAAAAATAATTCTTGTAATTGTAATAAAGAGATCCCGAATGTTGTGGTTTGATAACTCTAATGTGCTTGCCGTCGATGGCTCCGATGCAATTAGGAAATTGGGCGTATTTTTGAAAACCTTCAGCCGTTTGAATCCACTTATCTCTGGTCAATTGTGGCATCACAATTGGTTTTAATATCTCCCATATAGCTTCACAAACATCAAATACTATTTCCGATAATGTAGGAAGCCCTATACGGTATTCATGACTTATATGAGATAAAGAACACCCAGTAGCCAAATACCTGAAAATAAAATTCACATTAATAAACATAATATTAGTTTTGTAATATGTACTACATTTATTTATTGATTTACAGGCATTACTCTCCAAAAAAGATGGAAAAACCTTAGAGACTGTTTCACAAGAGAGCTGCGCCGTCTTAAAGATGTCAAAAGTGGTTCTGCTGCAAAACGTAAATCACAATACACCTATTTCAACCAATTACTGTTTTTGAAATCAGTGCTGGACACAAACGCAACAGAAAATAGTCTCGAAGAGGCAAGTCAAGAAAATGAAAGTGCAAGATCTTCTGATCTTGAGACTCAACAGTCTGCATCAAAGTCGCTTAGAACAAAAAGGAAGAAAAAAATACCAAACGAAGAATCCGATACAGACCCTCTAATTTCAGTTCTGCATAAGACCATAGCGACTACACAGAATGATTCAAATTGTGACAGACTGTTTCTTTTATCCCTCCTCGAAAGATTTCAAACAATCCCTGCTGCAATGAAGACCAAAGCGAAAATGGAAATCATGGAAATTATAGAAAAATACCAACCGAACTGTACACCTACAAATCGACCGAGTTATTCAGGTTATTCTACTACCAACAGGATATCAGATGATTCAAATTACAGCGATACTCATACTCATTATTCTGATATTTCTCAAAATTCAGAAATGATAGACCTATTTCCCAATTTGAATGATTAATTGTTCACAATTGCCATTTTTTAAGTTATGAAAATACAAATAATTTGATTATCTACTTCAGTTTTTTAATATTTAAAAACATGTTATAAGCAAGCCCTTTTCCTCTCCTTTTCAAAGTCGTAAAGTAGAATACTACTGAACAATAGTTCATAAATTTTTTAAAGTGGCAAAACCTTGGTCAATGAATTATACAGGTTGTTGTGAAAAACGCAACAGTGGTGGTTTAGGGTGATTCAGAATCAAGTCTTGTATAATTCAAATTTACAAAAAAATCCGTTTAGCAGTTTAAGTAAAAAAAAGGCCCTATCACATTATTTTTATTTTTCCTGTACACAATACTCCATTCCGAAACATCCTTTAAAATATATCACGTATTTTTTAAACATTCTGTATTTAAAAAGAAAAAGCTTACCTTATTGTTATTACTAATTTTTCTTCTGCTGGAATGCATTTCCGATAGTTGTTACCAGTTCCAGTAATTTTTGGTTTTATTGTATCCAGTAACAGGTTAAAAGTATTCGTTGACATTCTCATGTAATTAAAGAATCTCTTCTCATACATTTTTAAATCCAAAAAATAAGTATAATATAATCCTTTAGTCTTTCTCTCGCAAAGTAATGGATGCACCCAAAACTGTCTTTTACGTGAAATCTTCCGTTTTCGTTTTCGTAGTAAATACACAAGCACAGTTAGCGTGATTATCTTCTGCACGTCCATCTTGACACATCCTTGGAAGTCGACTGCAAATTTTTCGGCCGTCCACATGTCGCGCTTGCCTACGCACCGGCGACCATGGCCGCGGCGGCCTGGCCGCGTCTATGGTCGCCAGTGCGTAGGCAGCCTAAACCAGCTACAAAAGAATATAATCAAAAAACAGTCATATATCTACGTCAGTATAGCACGCGACCGCTACCCAACAAAAGCGCAATGAATTCTAATCAAGCGCTACTCCAATATATTACGTTCTCGGCCTATTCGTTACCTAATACTTAGATACGAACTAACGAATTATTTATTACAACGGTCAGCCAACAAATGGTACATACATAAAGAACAGGATATTAAATGAGCAGTGTTGGCCTAGTGGCTTAAACGTGCGACCCTCATCCCTATGGAGAGTTCGTTCATCATTCCATGTGCGCAATGAGCACTTGCTCCTACGGTGAAGGCAAACGTGAGAATACCGGCATTTGGCAAAACCAAAAGCCGATGGGCGATGACATGTCAATCTGATTTCAAGACCCTAATAGGATTGTAGCCCCACTGGATTATTATTATTAACGCACTTTCAAGTATATAATAATTAAGTACAAATTTCTATTTCTGTTTACTATCTCGTGTTTGTATATTCTTTGTTTGCTAATTAAATACTTGTTACATTCTCTCTCTTCAATCGGTAGCTCATGTCTGAGCTTCACAGTCAGCAAGGAAACATCTGGAGCGGACAATCTATCTCCTCCTGTATCAACTTTCAGTCCAGCGCCTCTCTTATAACAGTGTACAGTTTTGAAGACAATGTGTCATTCATTTGATCGATCCATTTGGTTGGTGAACGGCCGTGATCGTTTGCCTTCTGTGTTACCAACCACGATCGCTTTCTCCAAGTTCCCTAGCCTCTGCGCCATCTCTGTGTACAACCTACAGCAACTAGAGGTTTTCCTAAAGCGATTCCTTTACAAGTAACACATCCGCAAACCTTCCGGGGTAGCAGTTTTCAGAAAACAAAAACGCTGGTAATCAAAATTCTATATTATAAATAGGATCTACAAAACGTAGACTATACGTTGGAGCCAAAAAGTATCTACTTAAACCTCTCTAGCAGTAAGGCGAATTGGAGTAGACTTCTATATTTTAAACAATTGGAGCTCCCATCTCTTAGGGAAGACCCCCACCGGGAGTCGATTCCACAGTTCCCAAAAGAAATTGAAACAAAAAACAAATGGTAACCTATATAAATCAGATGTTTTAATATCTGGTAGTACAGTGACTATTAATTAATTTAAACAAAGATTCAGAGAAATCTGAGTCCGCATCCCCTACCCCCGAAAATAGCAGCGTATATGGGACTCGACCCTCACCAGAACCTCTGCTATTGAGCCATAAAAGTACTTAAACCACTCTAGCAGTAGTACGAACTTTATTATAGCAGGCTTTATAACAGGTCTTTTAACATTATATTCATACATACGCTTTACGTAAAATGTAAATAACGTAACATTTGCGTAGTAAAATGCATTTATTCCGTGTCCCAGTTGGACAGCGAGTGGAAGCAATATAAATTCCTAACTGA